CTTTGCCTTGTCCCTCCTCTCTACCCAAGTAGGGCAAAGTTTAAATGCCAATAAATTTACTTAAAATCCAGAGTGGTGTAAATTAAAAGTAATATTTTCACTGAAAAAAAAAAAATTTTTTTATACACTATGATGGGTCAAAAATATACAGAAGTGGTCTCGCTCCCGGAAGGAAAAATAGCAGACATTGAAGACAGCTACAGGTACCTTGGAATCCCACAAGCAAATGTCAACCTCGAAGAGGTGACAAGGAAAGTGGCTATGGCCAAATACCTCCAATGAGTAAGGCAGGTCCTAAGAGCCAGCTCAATGGCAAGAACGAATCTTGGGAAATAAATAGCTAAACTCTACCAGTAATCAGATACCCTGCAGGAATAATAAACTGGCCAAAGGAAGAGGTACAGGCCACAGATGTTAAGACACGAAAGCTCCTAACCATGCACAGAGGGTACCACCCCAAATCCAGTACCCTGAAGCTATATGCCAGCCGTGAGGAAGGAGGCCGAGGACTAATAAGCGGATGAGCCACTAACCAGGATAAAAAACCTCCAAGATCCATAAGTACGTCAAGGACAAGTCTCCATCAGACGACATCCTCACTTAATGTCTCAGACAATGGGGAACAGAGGATGAGGTGCTGGACGTTCCGTCAAGGGAGGATAAGCCCCTATACGGGATGTACCACAGGAACATAACCGAAGTGGCGGATATCAGGAAATCCTACCAATGGCTAGACAAAGCGGGACTGAAGGAGAGCACAGAGGCACTCATTATGGCTGCACAGGAGCAGGCCCTGAGCACCAGAGCAGTAGAGTCCCAGATCTACCAAACCAGACAAGATCCCAGGTGCAGACTGTGCAAAGAGGACCCTGAAACAACCCAGCAAATAACTGCAGGGTGTAAGAGTGTAGTTCTAGGAACAGCAAAGATACTGCGCAGAACCCTCAAGTTCCTAGGCCTCTGGTAGAGGACCCGAGCTCTAAGAAAAAAAAGGTGGAGACCGCCCACGCTGGGCAAGGAAGAGTTTTTTCTGGGATCAGAGATTGCCTGAATGATTGAAAACTAAACTTGACTTTTCAAAAAACCAATACCAAAAACGCCCAGAAGATGGCAAGAGTGCATCAACATCTAACTGCATGTACCACATTTCTTTTGATATACAGTTTTGCTGCAAAGCATTGTGTTTGGCGAGGAAAGCACACACCCTTATTTTTAACTTGCATAAACGGTCAGTTATTGCCGTTGGTGCATCAGCTGTTGCCGTAGCCCCCAGCAAACATGTAGTGTGCGGGACCGCATAAACAGCAGCCTGAGGACCAGGCTACTCATTATTGCGTAGCACCTATTTGCAGCTGGATGCGTAAATAAGCTTCCTGGAGCAGAGCCTATAGATGCAAGCACCTGGTTAGCCTAACTTCCTGCACCAGCTGCTAAATGCTTGCCGTTTCACACACATAGTCTCCTCCAGCTATGCCCAGCGCCATTTATTTTCAGACCTTTATGTCTGGTGGTGACATCTTCCCCGGAGTTCATGGACTGCATTGTGCCCACTCCATGCAATTACATTCTCTACGTCGTCCTTCCCTCCAAACACAAAGATTAATTTATGTATTTTTTTGACTTTTTACACATCTCTCCATTGAATGGAGCCGTAAACGGCGCAAGAGCAAGAAACAAGAGAATGAGGTACACGCTTTCCTAAGATCTGCCCGCTTCTTCTTCTGATTGACCAATACTGTTAGTTTCAAGCGCTGCTTTGCTACCATTGGCTGACAAACGCAAGTGGGATTTCGATAGTCTTTTTTTTGTTTATCATCAATTTATTTTCAACTTATTTTTTTTTTTACCCATGAGCAATCACTCCAAGCCAGAAATCCGGCCTGGGGCCGGAACACTTTGATTGCTGTGGTTCTTTTGCCAACACTGGCATGAAACGAGTCTGCACCAATAGCAAAAGTAAGTTACAGTCACCTAAGATGGAGCTCAGGCGTTGGCAGATCCTAGCAGCTCTGTGCTGAGAAATGGCTTCTTCTCTGTGTTTTTCAGATTTAAGGCAAAAAAACAAGGGTAAATGTCAGACAAAGTTTTGAGAGGAAAACAAAGAATCTATGCAGAGGTTTTCTCTTTTCTATTGAAACTTTGATTAGCATTAGCGGACCTGGCATGAAAGTGGCAAACTGTACGAAGAGAGCACTGACCTGCAAAAGGACTGCTCTTACTAGCTGGTAGGAGTTAAACTTGTAGCCATCCACTTTCCATAATATATTTTATTTAAATTGGTTTTGCCGCCACAGAGAAGTGAGAGTAGAAGGAGGGAGTGTTGAAGGTAGTGTGTGGACGCATGCATGCGAGTAGAAGTAAACACTTTCCAGTGTAGTCATCTATTTGTTTTTGGCTAGTTCAAAGGAAAATTAAACTTCCAATTTTGATCATTTACAAAATCTTTCCGCCCTATTCACAGCTGTTTAAAAAAAAAAAATTTTTTGTTTGTTTTTGAGAAGAAAATCAGCTTTGGTCTCTAAAGTATATACCTGAATGAAAGTGTCTGGTGCCAACAGTGTCATGCAATCTAATGCCTCAATAGCTGAAGAAAAGGGTGTATAAATTAATGTTCATTAAAATTATAAATTCATAGCAATTGAAAGTATTAAAAGCATCATGCCTATTGCAAAACGCTGCAGCTGATTTGGTGTTCACATTTGCAACCATGAAGCTTAAAATAGTGTAATAAAATAATGATATTACATACCAGGGGGGGAAAAAAAATCTATTGAACAGAGAACTGAATATTACAACCAGTAATTCTGGCTCACTGAGGTTATAATAGCAGAACTGATTACATCAATTTCCAACACATTAATCTGTTTGGTAATGTAAGCTGTTTTCTATTAAGGTTGGGCGATCAGACGAATCTATCGACCATATAGTCAGCCCTTCAGTTATTGTTTGTTAAAGAGCGACTTTTTATTTTTATTTTTAGGACCCACGGGTTACGCAAAAAACCCACCGCATAAAAACAACAATAAAACAGCTGCAGCTTTTCCCCCCAGTGCCACCAGGCCGTCCCGTATATTACCGATTTGATGTTAAACAAAAGGAAAATAAAAATAGCTGTGTGCTTTCCATACAAAAATAAAACAAAATCTCTGCAAATGTTTTTTTGATTTTGCGCATTCAAATTAACAAATTATTAACTATCAAAAAACTATGATGTCTCATAACATAGTCATAACTGGAAAAGAGGAAACTATTCCCACTGGACGGAACATATACATTTTTGACAAGCAAAGAAGCATGTTCATCTCATTGGGTTTTAGCAGTATGGGCAGGTAACAATATTACCAGCAAAGCAGAAGATGCCCTCTGAAGGGGTGCGCGTCTTTGTCCACAAAGTCACCTGCACGAGTATATCGTCCATCGCCAACTGTTTTCACTGACGAACATTGGTTGGAGAATCATTACAATTCGCCCAACCTTAATTTCTATATCCCATAAAAAATAAAGTACTATAATTGTTCATGTTTGAAGATTTCATCCTGTAACTTCTTGCTTTCAAATTGCAAGTTAAGAAAAATCATTTCCAAAGCTTTTAAAATCTTACCCAGTGAACATAACTTTGACAGCTTAAAAAGTTGTGACTGTGGTCACAACTACATCCCACTTAGTTTTTGTTCTTTTTTAATATAGCATGGGTTTATTCATTAAGCCAGGGGCTCTCTGAGTATAAGGGTCTTCCCCCTCTGCATAGCGACTGCAGTCATTTATTTCAGGCATTTCCACCTGCCAGCACAGCTCAGCCTGGCAGACTGAGGGGGCAGAGGAAGAGCCCCTGTCTGCACCCTGTTTATCTCTGCACCATCATCACTGCCAGATCATATGACAGGCCTCAGCTCAGGAAAAATATATATCATCAACATGTAAAAAGCAACTTTTGCTAACAAGTACTGTAAAAAAAATTCTTTAGGTTGTTTTCCTTTTGTACTATCTGAATACAAAATATTTTTTTTCTATGTTTTATAACATCTAAGCAAAAGAGAAAACACCAGGAGAAAGTTGATCATGGAGGCTGCTTGGAAAGCTACAACTACGGTAGTAAAAAGTGTCATCCTTTGTTCTCATCTAATGATGTTAATCTACAACTGAAATTGATTAAAAAAAAAAAAAATCAAAGCCGATATACTATCCTATTAAACATATCAGACAGGAATGGGTTTACAGTTTTCATTGCTGATGTGCCCAAATTCAGCTAAATCTGTGTAAAAACAACTCTGTGCTTCTTTGTGCCTCCATGTGCCTTCCCCTCTCTGTCCTGCTATTCTTCATAGTTTCTGTATCTCTTTTTCCTGCTGTACCAAAAATAGACAGAATAATGACATCAATATTTTAAGGCATGGGGGATTGCCAGAAAAAAAAAGTGTACAGAGGTTTTAAAACTGCAAGAAATAGTCTAAACCTAAAAATATGAAACAGATAAAATGTCAGAATTTAGTTTTCTGAGAAATCGTCCATCTGATGCTATTGGCAAACAGTGATAGAATATTGAAAAACCCATATATATATATATATATATATATATATATATATATATATATATATGGATGAATAAATATTTTGTTTAAGTGCTCTTTGCCATTGCGATATAGCACATATTGATGTGGGGATTAAAAATGCTGTGGGAATCCCACACTGGTCCATGCCTGAATTATACTGTCAATCTTTTGGAGGAAAACAGTTGTCTTAGCTTAACTGAATTTAATTATGTATTAAACTTATAATATAATTTGACACTAAGGGTGATGGATGAGGAGGGACTTGGGCTGACATTGTGAAACAAATATTCAGGGGAATATGTTTAAAACTTTGTAATTACAGCCTTAAAGCACTGAATGAGAACTGGGCAGAAACAAAAAAGGCTATCTCAGACCTCTGGGAAATAAAAAACGGAAACATACTTAACAGCAATTGCTCTTTTAAAAAGTTCACACACCAACACAGACAGACAGTCATTTTCTTTCAGCCCTGCCCACCACAACGACCCTTCCCCCCCCCTCTTAGTTTGGGAGGAGGGGTGTTCCCACGAGGCCCATATTTTACTCCTTGTAAGGAGATTCAGCATTCCACAACTCCTTCTTTCCTGAGATTTACATCAGAGTAAACAGACTGTCATCTAGGAGCACCGACAGCATTACAGCTGAGGTCCAATAGGACAGCCAACGGAGGGTTTAAAGACAACACCGGCTTCTGCAGCAAAAATTAAAGCACGATGATACATTTGTTTCCTCAAATAACAGAGACATGAATCAGGAAAAAAAGGATCTGGTAATCAGCTAATGGGCCAGGCACATTAGCTGATTCAATCAATCGATCTAACCCTTCATAAATAGAGATTGAAAATAACAAATGAGATTTGAGAGGAGAAAAAAAATTGTATATTTTACAAAAAATATATTTCATTTGCTTAAAAGTCCCCAATGTGCTGTCAAATGAACTAACATTTACTTTTTATATGTTTAAAACCATTACACGATATTCAATAGCTAATATATAAATTCAATTTGGTCAGTAGAAATATTATAGCATTTTGGAATGAACAACAGAGGCAGCAAAGAAATGGGTTCAGTTTTAGATATGGATTCAAGCCAGCATCAAAAACCATGTTTAAAAATGTGAGAGACTTTTAATGCATTTTTTCAATTACAATCTATATCAGCAGTATCCTTAGTTGATATCATCGCCAATCATCTTAATGTTAAAAAGATCATACTTTTCACTGAACAACAAAATATACAAAAGTAGAAGAGTTATACAGGGATATGACATAATGGGATCATGATATAGCTTGGTAAAAATAGCTTTTTATTTTAAGTTGTTTTGGAAAGAAGAACTTTTTCTATGGATAATGTCAAGCATGTGTGCTTTCATTTATTAATGAGATATGACTGTTTTGAGTTCTGATCATGCTTGATGCTGTTTTTTATATTTCTGTAAACCAACTGCGTTGCCTTTTTTCCACTTAAGCATTTGTTATTTGACCTGAATACACATTTATTTTGTAACAATAACAGCACATTATTGTTTTCCTTACTGAGAAGTTACATTTTCCTGTACTGTAACTATTAAAGTGATGCTTCTTTTCATATGGTTGTGTTGTGTAAGTTTAAACTTTCTTTGTGATTTGTCATTTGTGATCCTAATGCTGGAAATGTAAACTTACCCTTGATTGAGGTCATTTTCTGTATTATCCAGCCACAAGCGAACCGCTACTGCGTTGCCTTCCCGGCACTGCGTAAAGATATCATCCATTGTGGTCGATGGACTCTTCTTTTTAGGTAGAGAAACTAAGATTAAGAAGACCTGAAGAGTTCAGGCAAGTTCCAGCAAGCATTAGTCCCTCATCTGGGACCTTATCAGGAATGGAAGCCAGGAATTAAGGAACACTGAAAGAAGGAAATTATAAAATTTGACAATTCAAAACCGTTTATTTTGATTCACATAAACAAAAACAAAACAAAAAAACAGAAAAGTACACAATAATTAATCTTAAGCATCCCTTTTGGTATGCTGGCTGGAGATAAAACACATAATATGTACAATACCTGAAAAAGAAATTAAAGCTATACAAAATAACTTGCAGTTCATATAGAAATGTATAGCTGGAACAATTAGCTGACATAATTCAACTCATTTTTTTAAAACTAACTCTGCTAGCATTGGCCAGATACACTCAACATTTGCACTTGCCGTGGTTCAGAGCATTCCTAAAAAAAACAGCACAAAATTTAAAGCCAAGTCAGCAAAAATTTAATCAGCAACAAAAGAAAAAGAACAGAAACTAAAACAGTAAATAAATACAGAAAAGTGAGACAAAGTATTCCAAATAAAAGTGTATAATACTGATCTGCTGCACAGACTTAAAAAGAAACTGTGAAATTTAATGTAGGCTACTAAATATATATAAAAAAAAAACAAAACATAAGCATCCTTTAATTCTGTCTAGAACTAAAAATATTTCTACTCACTGTAGTAAAACTATAGGAGGGAAAATAAAAACAGAAATTTGGGAGTTTTTTTTATTTTTTATAGTAAATATGAAGTAGCATAGCATATACAGTAGACTGTATGGTAGTTTTCCATTATAAAATCATAATCATGTAAGGTTAAAAAAAAGCACCTCCTTCAAGTTTAACTGTCGTTTTTGAAACAACCCCTATTAACTACCAATGTGTGGTTCAAAACATCCTTAAACGGACAGTAAATAATTCAGTAAATAATTCGCCTTTAATCTAGAGGGTACATTCAAAAATATCACAGCCATTAACATGATGTCACCGTTACAAACTTAAAGTAGCCGCACGAGCTACTCTGCTAACAAAGCTAACACAATAAAGAAGAAGCTAAAGGTTTAGTCAGATTATTAAATTAATTGCAACTGAACCATTTCTTTGCTTCACATTAAACAGTCGGTTCCCTGACCGCTTCATATTAACCAGGAAGCAACGGTTGATAGAATTGGAGGACAGCAGGTTTCTGCTAACAAGCTAACCAACTATTCTGACGCCTCGGGCTGTTTCTGTGCTTCTCTTTCTAACATGACGCCGATTTATCACTGAAATTCACTTCTATTATTGTCCAACTACAGTCGACCTAAAGTATTTGTTTAAGTAAGGAAAAACCTACCTTATAATGGTCGCTTTATGCGTTGTAGTAAAGTGAGAGAATAAGTTACTAGCTATAAATGCTGTAGTTGTCTCTGGGTAGATAGGTCCACACCCTCAGCGCCCCCCAACACGCTTATCTGACTGGAATAGGGTGTGCTGCCCTCTACAGGTGACAGGAAGAATTGCAAAAAGTTAAAATCGATGCCTCAGGCCATGTTTTTCCTTTTTTAGTTTATTTTTTGGTTTATTTATTTATCCGCAGCCCATATTCATAAAACCTAAACACAAAAATGTTTTTGTTTTTTTTGATGGGTCCAATGTGAGTTTTTCTAATAATTATTTAACATCTACGATTCTGGATTGTTGTTTACTTTTTAAAAAACATAGAGGTAATAAAACACAAAAATGTTATATTTTTAAAAATATATATAGTTAAATCCAGGCATCCTTTATTATTCACTTTGCTGTCATGTGAAACCTAAAGAAACACTACAACATAATTCTGAATAAAATACCCAGTACAAAAGTAGAAAGAACAAATGCCATGTTTGATTATTGTAAACTCAAAGAGGATGTCAAATTATGCCAATTTCCTCATAATCGTTGTTGTTATTGTTAGCGTCATTTCTTCTTCTTCCTTTCTATTATGGTGAATCGCAAGCAACTTTTTGGTGCATACCGCCACCTACTGTACATGAGTGTGTAGCAACTTTATTACTTTACATCAACTTATATTGCTTAATTTTGTATTCTGTAGATAAATAGATAATGCTTTCCTTATTCTGTGAATATGCTTTATATTTCCTTAATTTCCAGGTAAATTCCTTTAAGACTAAATTCTTTTCCTGTCCTTCCAACCATCCTCATTTTCTCCCTTTCATGTTCATAAGTTTTACAGTTCATCAGTTTATGTTCTACATGTTCTTTTTCTCCACATCCTTCACATATATAATTATTTTTACTCCCTATTAAATATAAATTGTCATTTAAATAGGTATGACCCACTCTTAATCTGATGATTATTACTTCTTATCTTCTGTTTCTCTCATTTATGATTCTTTTTAATACTGATTTTTGTACCTTATATAATCCTCTTCCTTTATCTTTGTTCCATCTCTTTTGCCATTTTTCCATTTTTTTACTCTTAATAAGTGATTTACCTTCCCCTTTCCCAAAAGGAATTGTAATGGCTATTGTTCCCTCTAAAGCCCTTTTTGCTAATATATCTGCCTTTTCATTTCCTTTTAGACTTCCATGTGCTGAGAACCCAACATAACCAAATATCAGTGCCACCCCTATATAATCTAAATAGACCGTGTTTAATTTCTAATACTAAATGTTTTCTATAATTTCCTTCTCCCTGAACACTTTCTAAAACTGCTTTGGAATCTGTACAGACCACCACCCTGTCTGGTCTAACCTCCTCATTGTAAGCTTAGTATAATTGCCACCATTTCTGCTGTGAAAACAGACAGTGGATCTGATATTCTTTTAGAAATGTAGATTTTAAACTCTGGTATGTATATTCCTTTTCCCAAAGCGTCGTCATTTGGTGGTAACTGCACGTTTTCGATAGACATAAAGAAAAAACGTCATTACCCAGAAATCCCCAGTGTGTTCTACGTCATCGAGCCGCGTCTGTAGTTCTGTTTTGCTTCTTCGAAGCACATGAAATTATCAACGTGGTGCTCCCTTCTTGACAAGAAACACCACCAAAGGTACATGAGACCAAACCTTTAGCACTTAAACGTATTCTTACTCGCATTTAGCAGCTTAGCTCGTTTAGCCTTTACCGAATCTTGTAGCAGTTTTTGTAGCAGACTCTCCCTGATCAGGATTTACCCAAAAGTCAACGAGAACTGGACTATTTGTAGGTTCTGTTTTCTCACCATTAAAGAGAAAACATGTTTAATGAGGAGGAAGATTGGAGTGACGATCAAGAGGGAAAGATCCTGAGTAAATCAGTCTTTAAACCGACCCCAAAAGCAGAAAGCAGCACACATTTTAAGGTACAGTTACTCGCTTTCCTCGGTTTCCTCTCTTTTTCCCCCATATATCTTGAGTGTTTGTATAGTAATAAAAGTCCAGTCTGGAGTAACAATACATATGATTGTTCTTTATGCCTTGGCTAGTCTGACGTTATTGGGAAAAAGAGTCTGCTGAGGACTCTGGAGACACTGGGATCAGCTCCAGACTGGAAGAGCAGCGAGCATGAGGAGCAGGACAGCGAGAGTGAGACAGAAGTCACCTCCTCACCCAGCAAGAAGAGGAAGAAGAGGAGGAAAAAGAGGAAACATGGAGCGCAGGAAGGTGGAGACCAGAGTCAAGCTGCCCAGGAGGAGAGATCTACACTGAAAAAGAAGAAGAGTGAAAATAAACCTGGTTAGTAATTCAGAGAGTGTGGCCCTATTTAATGGTTCAGATATAACATCTTTGGGAAAAGTGGCATGATTTCTGATGAATCCCAAAAAGTTTGTTAAGTACATTATTTTAAGTATGAGAAGGGAAATAATGTGTTAAAAGGGTGAACACTATTATGGTTATTTTGTGTACACTTTTATTTAAACAGTTTAAAAATGAGTAAATATCAAAGCTGTTTAGACAGAAGACTTTAAGTCATGTTCTGTTGGACGTGTAGGATTAAGGAGGTGTCCTGCTCTCCAACTACTAGATCACCACTTGCAATAGTTACTGAATAGCATAATAATATTTATATGATTTACTCAAACGCCCAACAAATGATCTTTATTTAAAACTTTAGTGGAGGATTTTTGTGAATTTTTGAAAAGACATGCCCTCTACATCTTTAAAAAAAAAATGAACATACAAAACCCTGTACCTGCTCCCAAGAGGGAACAGCTATTAAACGCGTGCAAGAGCATGCATGAGCCCATTTCTCCTCATGCACGTTGTGTTTAAAAGTTGCTGTTTGCATCGCTCATACAAGCTTACTTTCCAAAAGAAGATTTGCAATTTTTTCACTATGTCAGACTCACCACCAGTAAGTGAAAATGGGGACGAGCACAAAGGACGGCCTTACTAAACGTATCGACAGAATCATTGAGAATTAGGAGGACCACTTATGTTGATGATGCAACAGAAAATGAACATCTTCAACTATACCTTTGATCCTCTATAATTTAGTGAATACATTCTTAATAAATGAGTAGTTGTCTATTTATTTAGCTCTGAGGTATTTTTGTTCCTGGAGAACTTACTCCTTTAAAAGCTGCCAGAGAGGTCATATGGAATTAAATAAAAAAAAAGTGTGACTTATATTCCCTTCAAAATAAAACATCTTTGGTGTTTAGTGATTTAATCCTCATGCATCATGTCAGATTTTTTCTTTTTTTGTCTATAGATAGTTGAAATGATGAACAAAGCAAAAAACTTCCTCTTCCTTTAGGAAAAATGATCGCCATGGCAATAGCAGGAATATAAATCATTAATGAAGGGATATATAGAAGATTATCAAAATATGTATTTAACACAAAGAGTGATGCTGCTACTGTTTTATAATAAGGAGCAGTGCATTTGATAGAAAATTCAAATCATATCCTCAACACTTATTTAACATAAAAATAATAATGGCTGCTGCATTAAATCAAGATTAAAAAAAATATCTGGAAAGATATACGTAAAAATTACAGGCTATTATCATTAATAATAATTGTTGTTAACGAGCTAAAATAATACATAATATATCATAGGGCCTTAAATATTGGTTCATGACTTCATATAAAAGAGCAGAAATGCAGTTGAACATGTTATTTATTTCAATAAAGCTTGCTGTGAAATGGCTGTATGAGAAGTATTTACAAGAACATGGGGAAACTTTTTTTTTTAATTAAAAAGGGTATACCTAAAAAAAAAAAATAATAATAATCTCCTGTATTTGGTAAAGGAACAATGAAAGTGTTTGCCATCTATGCTTTCAATATTACTTGAAATCTCAAAATGTGAAACAGACTTAATGATTTCCTTCCCTGATGCTTTCAGCTCGAGGGATTTTTCTTCTATTTATGTCTTGCAGATTTCTGACAAGGTGAAACTAGGAGTGGTGGTTAATTAATTAAATGAAAATGCAAATTAAGCTTTTTTGTGTGAACTCAGTTTTATTTTCTAATTGAACAAAAAAGTTATTTAACAATTATATAAAAACAATCTTTGATTGCTTAAATCTCAGTCTGGAGCCAAAAGTGCTGGTAGTGAAGCTCTCCACCTACGTGATTGATAAATTGATATTCATCTAATAATGGATCTGATCTGACGGGTACCTGAGCTTTACGGTAACATTTTAACACTTCACTCCAGTCAGCATAAAAACATGTTGCAGCACAAATAAGTTGCCCTCGCTCTGTTATATAAGTGATCTGAGGCTTGAATTTTATTGAGTTAAGTTATTGACTCTGGTGGAAACTATGACGTTAAAAAATCTATGAATCCAGTATTAAAAAGGCCTCTTAGCTGCATGGAGATTAATGGCTTCTTCATTTAAAGAGAATCCATTTCTGATGCTTTTCTTTTGTTATATTTCAGCCGAAATGAGCTTAAATTCAGGATAAGTTCACGAATATTACCGACCAGAGTTGGTTCACAAAGTAACTTGCTGTTTAAACCTGACTCAGGATAACAACTGGAGGGCTTTCTCAAGACAGAAATCCAGGGTATGCAGGGATTTATGCCAGAACTTATTTCTATGTTCTCACTCATCCTGATTTCTGAACCGTGGGGCGTGTCTGTTATCAAAAAGTCACATATTGCATTCATCTTAACAGAATTGAATTTGGCAACTGAACTGTGCATATTTCTGTTTATAATGATGGAACTTAGCTGTTTTGTTTTTTGTTTTTACAAGCATCACAAATAATTCTTTAGATTCTTTTTCACTAAATAACATGTTTATTTAAATCCACTTGTGAATTTCTATAATTCATTTTTTAGGATCTTTTATGTACCGTAATAAAAGATCACCTCATTTAAAAGCTCTTTGTAAAAAAAAGAAAAGTGGAAAGCATAACATAGACAATTCACACATCTAATTGTGTCTTTTTATATTCTTTGCATCTATAATTAAACATTTTTAAAATTTAGAAAATGTCAATTTTCTCGACACGCCTGAGTAAGAATTTATTCATCTGTTTTGTTTCTTTTTGAAGGAGCCTCAAAAACACAAAGGATATCTGCGAAGGAGACAAAAGGTGAAAAAGTCCCAGAACCTCCACAGGAGAATGCAAACAAACAGCAAGGCAATGAGAAGCTGAGCAGAAAGCAATGGAAAAACAAGATAAAAAATAAAAAAAGATGCAAAAACAAATTCCGCCAAAGTAAACCCGAAGAAGATGCAAACAGAGCTAAAACCACAGATAAACAGGAACCAGCAGAAGAGATCAAAATAGATCCACATAAAAGCAACAGTGAAAACATCAGCCAGACGGCAAACCAGAAACAAAAGAAGGGAAAGGAGAGGAAACCAGTGAAAAGAAAGAAGCCGGAACAAGAAGCAGATGGATTAACCACAGCAGTAGAGAAAAAACAGCTAAAGTTGGAGAAATTAAAAGGTGCAAATTCTGCCAAAAGTGCATCTAAAGGTTCCACTGAGGGATTTAAACATAAAGAGGATGAACTCAAGGTGGAGATCTCACATAATCTGCAGAAGTTTCCCCCCCAAAAACAGAAAAAAGAGCTGAGCAAGGAGCAGATTTTAAAGAGAGAGAAGCTGCAGAAAATACTCATCAGCCAAGAAAAGGAGAACGACCAGGTTGGAGCAAAAGATGCCGGCACGGCGGCGGTCCGAGAGGAGGTGACACAAGACCGCTCGGACTCCCTCAGGTCCCGCATGGAGCAGCGCCTGGAGGCGGCTCGTTTCCGCTACATTAACGAGCTTCTGTACAGCAAGTCGAGCGGCGAAGCCAGGCGCATGTTTCAGCAGGATCCGCAGGCCTTCTGGGTTTACCACAAAGGTTACACAGCTCAGGTCCAGAGGTGGCCGGCCAACCCGGTGAACGCCATCATCTCCTACATTCAGAAAAAGTGAGACAACTTTCTTCTTTCTGGGATATTCGTTTATTGTAACAAATCTAACATGCTATCTCAACCCCACATTAACGAGGCACCGTTTTTAAGTACAATTAATTCAGATTATTTTCTTCATCATTATGTAGGAGCAGTTGGCCTGTTAAGATGAAATACTTCCTTCTTTAGTAAAGGTTATTTGTGTTAAAATCTGTTTAAATTTTTTTCTAATCTATACATAATTCTACATCTATTTATATCTGCTCTTAGTCTGTTCAGTTGCTGCTCAAAGATAACTAAAGTGATTCTATCCTACTGTAATGTGTTACAGACCACCTAATCTGGTAGTGGCAGACTTTGGCTGTGGTGACTGTAAAATTGCGAGGAGCGTGAAGAACAAAGTGCACAGCTTTGACCTGGCTGCCACTTGTGAACTCGTCACTGTGTGTGACATGGCCAAAGTGAGTCCCTCTGCATAATAGCCACCAACCTGTGTGCTCCATGTCTCCGTGAATCAACATGCGGCGTATCTGTGCAGGTGCCTCTTGATGATAGCTCTGTGGACATCGCTGTGTTTTGTCTTTCCCTCATGGGGACCAACCTGGCAGAATTCCTAGCAGAAGCCAACCGTGTCTTGAAAATGAGGTAAAGTTGGACAAAAGTTGATTCAAACATATTTAAACCACTTTCACACACTTATGTATTTACTGTAAAAGATCAACACAAAGCTCTGCAATACTTGTAATGAAAGGAAAGGATGGATGGTTTTTGTTATCAAAAACACCCGACAGGTTTGGCGTTCATTTGTTTTCAGTCTATAGGGTCTTTTCACATCTAAATGTTTCTGCCTGATGCCCTAAAGCTTAGTCACCTTTAATAAAGTATTGGTACAGATTATTTGGATTCAGGTTCATATTTTGAATAAGTAAGAGTGTTTCAGAAAAAAAATGTTATACTGATTTTATTTTCAAGTTCTCAGAGAGAGAGAAACATAAAGATGCTCCGTTGGGTTAAAATTTGTGCAGAAACTGTCAAATTAAATCATGTCGAATTGTTTCACTTTTTCATTGCAGGGGCATCCTGAAAATTGCAGAAGTAGCGAGCCGATTTGACAATGTGGACAGCTTCATCTCTGGCCTCACAGGTCTAGGATTTAAGATGACGTCAAAGGTCAGGTTATTTATATGATCAATATTTATATATTTAACTATATTTGAATATTTAAATATAGTTAAATATTTATATATTTCAATATATTATATAGAATACATTTTATTGTATTTTATTTATTATATTTTATTATAAAAAACCGAAATGTTAGAACTGTAAGTATAAAGTCATGTGCTTATATGACAGTTTTTATGTATTTTTTTTTACTGTTTTCTAGGCTACTCTTTACAAAAAGGAAATTGTCTAGAGATCAATAAGCTTAGACTTCATTACTATGACGTTAAATGTACTGAAGGCATGCAGTGTGCATCACTGGCTGCATGTGGCAGGAAACTACAGGTTGAAAAGAGCATCCTGTGAAATCAGTTTGCAGAGAACAGTTTGGTAAACAGTGCTTGGAGAGAACCTGCAGGACCATTTCATCAAGATTTTAAGGAATGTGAATATCTGAAGTTGGTGTATTTAGGTGAAGCTGCAGAAATAATTTGTATATTTGTCTCTTTTTTTTTTTCTTTCAGGATACAGAAAACAGCCATTTCTTCTCCTTTGAATTTGTGAAGACGAGAAATGCTCCAAATAACGTGAAGAAATTTGGACTGGAGTTGAAGCCTTGTGTGTACAAGAAAAGATGATATTAGGGAAGAGCTAAGCATTGATGCATGTAAAAAGATTTTAATCAGCAGGTCATTTGACCATAGCTGTATTATTTCTTTAATGCCGCCGTGCAGATTACAGATTTCCTTTTTTTTTTTTTTTTAAAGAAAATGACTACATTAACTCCACTATATGTTTAGCTCCTTAAACAACATATTACTACTTTGCTTTTATTTATTTGGATCAATTCTTTCTAACAACAAAGATTCTCAGACCACAGGAACAAACAAGACGAAGCATCCTTCACCTTTACTTGAAATGCTATATAATGTTATAACTAACATTCATAAGAGACTTTTTAAGAAAGAGTTTGCAGATTTTAAATTAGCACGTTTATAACATTTAAAAATATCCAGAAACTGTAAGAATAAATGTCTGCCATGTATTTTCCTTCTGTTTAAGTTGCAGTCCTGTATTCAGTTTTCTTGTTTTGACCTGTTTAAATAAGGCATTCAGTGTATTTCTAAAAGCTATTTCATCCCGTTCTGTTTGATATGTACTAAAAATGATTCCTCAGATTGTTTTAGGTTTTGTTTTGTGTTATAAGCACAGTTTTTACAAGTCATTAAAAAGGAGCTTTCATAATAACTTCCTACAGTTTCATAATTTATTTTTTGTAGCCATATTTTAGGTCATGTGGGGAAGTTCCATAAATTCTTATCGTTTTTGTACCGATTAATCAGCATAGTGCCTCAATACTACAGCCTAGTTCATTTTACAATTTTTTTTTTTATTGAACTTTATTGATCTCACATTAGAAAAATTTACCTCTACATTAAACCCATCCCCTTTGGGAGCAGTGGGCTGCCATAATGGGGCATATGGGGAGCAATGCAGGGTTAAGGTCTCTTGCTGGCAGTCTGGGTCGAACTCAGAACCTCTGGATTCCAAGCTCTATGCCCTAACCACTAGGCCGTCAAGATGCAAGCCTTGGATTAGCTTGCATCTTACCGGCCTTAGAGAAACCATTATAGTGTGTCACTGCACCATATTTTGCATCAATGGAATAATGTGTAAAAGTGCATGAATATCAGAAAATAGAAACTCGTGGAATAATTGTCATCAATTGGTTTTATTGATTGTCATGTATAAAAAATATTACGAACAAAATGCAAAGTTCAAGTAAGGCTGAAAAGTGCGAAAACTCACTGCTTTTTAAATCATTAATGCCAGTCAGCTACAAAGTTCAGTGCATGGTCGGTTTCATTTCAAATGCTACATAAACACACAATAAAACGGTGCTGCATTAAGATAAATGCTGGGTCAAGCTGATTATTTGTAAGGTCCTCTGAGGGACACCTTTTATCTCTTCACACTGTACTCTTGGATTCAAAGACGATGGAGAAGCTGGTAAGCTGAGCGTGCTCCTTACAGTTGGACATGTCTGCTCCAGGCTTCCTGACCTCAGGAGAGCCAGGCTCCTGCATGAGACTCGTCAAGGCTGAGATAGACTCCCGTTCCTGAATTGTGAATATTTAAAACAAAGAAAACATATTTTTTGAACAAAGTTTTATAAAAATGACTTATAAATATTAATAATAAAATATCTGAATATACCTTATGTGGAGTCTTCTTCTTTTGTTTACTGCAAAACCAGAAAAAAAGTAATTTCAAACCACCTGTAATATTTTAATTATCTTTTATTTTTTTAATTTTTGTGTAACTTTTGATTATCTTTTTGCTCATTTGATGCACCCTGTTGTACAGCACTTTGGGCAAATGTAGCTGTTTTTAATATGTGCTATAGAAATAAACATTGACACGTTTACTTGTCTATTTTCTGCCACTAGATGGCAGTGTGGTATAATTATAACCTCAGAGAACTATAGCAAACTAATAACTTGTAGATGTGAATCCAGTGCATGCAGCATGAATACAGGATTGACTAAATTCTCTATCATTGATCCCTGAGAAGCAGCTTCCTTATTCCTTAAACTCCCCAGGGACAGAAGAAGGACCTGCACTGTCATGTTCTCCTCAGCGAGTGTGGAAGGTCAGGTGGCCTGAGGTTATCTCAAAATAACTCTTGAGGAGTCATGTTTTCTTGTTGTTCACAGGGTGACTGACCTTCCAGAATTAGCCTGACAGGACTGTGTCACTTATAATGAGACTGAGGCTGTAAGTGGAAGAATGTTAGGAGTCGCTGGCCTATTCAAACAAGTTGAAAACCTCTGTGGTTTGCCTCTAATGGGAGGCATAGTTTGAGCCTCACAAATCACTGGCAGGATCCAGTGAGAAAATAAAGCAATAAACAGTTTTTAGCACCGTTACAGATAGCCCTCCTAAGTTGTAAAAGATGTGAATCAACAACCTTTTCCAGCAGTAGCATTAAAAATTCATTCCAGGATTTTTTTAAGACTGAAGTACAGCAGCTTGAATTATACAGTAATAACATAGAAACCTATGAATTGTGCAACTTGGCAGAGACTATAATGGACCAAAACTGAACAAACTTAAAACTTCTGAAAGGCAGAGCAGGAAACTAGACGATAAATCTGTTTTATAACTGCGCACAATTTCTACCTATGTACAACAAGCGGGACTGTGGTGGCAAAGGCACCTGTCTGCCTCAGCCACAGTTTTCCTGTTTGTGAATAACTACACTGAGGTGGTTGGTTATTGACTTGGGTTAACGATCCTCACATCCTGTTTGTCTCACACTGAACGCAGTTGGCAGCGATGCCCTCATTTGCACATCAGTGCATCACCTGCTGAGCTGACACCTTGGGAACTAACTCACCAGCACACATAGAGGATGACGATGAAGACGATAAGGACGGCCGAGGCGGAAGAGATGCAGATCAGGATTACCAGCACTGCAACACAGAAGCACTGATATCAGACATCCTAACAAAGCCTCAAACTCTTAACACTCTTCAGCATGCAGATAGCATCAGGGCTCCTTAACTAAACATGTCAGGGAGCACAAACACTTACTAAACTGTTCGCCCTCTCTCAAGACTTCCACTTGAATGTCGACAGTAGCATTGTGGTGATAAAAAGAAGCCAAACAGCAGTAGAGGCCTTTAGTCTGGCCTGAAGGGTCCGAATGAAGGATCATGGTGTCCCCATCCATTGGAACAGTTGAGCCATCACTCCTGTAACACAAGTGATGCTAAGATTTAGGCTAAGATTTAGAGTTTAGTAAGAACATATTTATATGTCTGGTGGCTAATTAACAGTATAACAAAACAGAATACTAAAAATGTGTATCTAAACTAGAAATGCAGGCTAAACACGAGTTAAGTTAAATTTAAGAGTTAAGCGCAAAACGGCTTTGAAACTCAACCTTTTTATGTTTTTCCTAAATGCTTTAATGCAAATGCATGGCAGCAACCTGTGCACGATGTGGTGCGATCAGATGGTACACATGCTACAGATTGAAATAACCAGTAATGTGACAATAGAGAGGTATTTTTTTTCCACATGCATTGAGCCAGAAGGCAAATAAGCAAAGGCTTGGTTTAGGTGGTGCTATCTACTGAGGTTTTACCACTGCACCTTCGACATTCAAGGCTGTAATCTGGCATGTTTCCTTCCACTCTGAGCAATACTTTCTGGTTGGGTTGATTCTCATTGACAGAAACTCTGTATACAGCAGCTTGATCAGCATGGTGGTTCTTTAGAGCACTTGTGTTGTTTAGGACCTTTACAGAGGAGATATCTGCAGAAACATTACCGTACACAAACATCAAGAGTCTTTAGAAAATCAATCCACCTGTGTTCTTATGACCCTAGTTGCACTTACAGTATGTTGGTATGTGAATAGTTTTCCTTTCTGTGATCCCATTATCAGATTTATACACACAAGTCAGGCCCTGTCCCTCATGGAGGAACAGAGGAAACTGATAAGTCAGCTTGGCGTTCATTATGTGTCCTTTGTATTCTGTGTGCAAGGTTGTTTCATTTCTGACATTTTCAGGAAGGTCCCATGCAAGGTTTGTCCCAACACCCTCCCCTTTACAGTCACACACTGCAAGCCAGAGAGGGGAGTGTTTCTGTCGCACCACAGAAACACTGATATGAGGGGGTTCTGAAAAGAAAACAGCAGTGAAAAAAAAAAGGTGAGGAGCTGATTTGGGATTTATTTGTCAAAGCAGATTAAAAAAAAGAGTAATCTTAGAAAAAGTAAACATACTGTTCACTGGAATGTGTATGGTTCTCTTTTCTGGATTCACCAAACTGGGGTGTTTCACAATGCAAGTGAGATTCTGACCGGCAAAGAGAGAAGACTTAAAATGCACAGAGCTGTGGGTTGATACCAGACCCTCAGTGTGGAAATCAGTGTTCATCGAATAACTGATGTCATCTTTGTTTCCAGCACGCCAGCTTATAGCTGCAGCAGAGGCGACACTGACCGCCAAGCAGGTCACCGTTGAGTATTTGTGACTGTCTTTCCACTCAGAGCTAAGGGTGATGGTTATGTTTGGTCGAGCTTTATGTCAAAAAGAAGTTGAAAACAGGAAATGAGGTGTTGCCTTTGAGTAACTGATAGAATCCATGGTACAGAAACATGGACAAATAAGCGTTAGGTTAAATATTGACTGATTTGTAGAACATACCGCAATGTGAGAGTATTATACTTCTGTTCTCTGTTTCCTTAAATGTAGGGTGATTTATCACACACACTGCTGTGAGCTCCAGAGGCAAGCATGCAGGGAGGAGTAAAACAGTGTGGCTTCCATTATTGAAAGTGGAATTGGACCAAAAGTCTTCGGAAACACCTTCAGGTAGACTCCAGGAAACGCTGGCTGCAGGAACAGCGCCAGTCGCCGAGCACTCAATCATTGTGAATTCACCTTCGCTGTGAGAATCGACCCTGATTGTGGGAGAAACTGAAAGAAAGAATGTGGCCAGAAACGTTCCACATCAAAATTTAGGAGTAATGTCATGCTGGCGTCATAAAGAATACAATTTAAAGTCAAATAAATCTTTATACCAACCCATCTGTGGAGGTTGAGCTTGAACTGTAATGTTGACCTGCATTGTTGCTTTCAGATGGTGGTAGGAGCAGTCACACTCATACAGACCAGAATGCTGAAGCGTTACCGGACCTTGAATTATTAGATCTCTACCAATCAGCTCCACGTCTTCAGGCAAGGGCCCGTCATCTCTGCATGACAAACGCAGAAAGTAATTTTTCTGTTTTAAGAATTATTCGTAATTAACATGACAGATAAAGATTTGGTTAAAAGTGAAATCAAAGTGTTAAAATATGATAGAAATGATAACAACTGTGATGCACCTAAAGCACAGAGATAGTAGTATAGTGGTCCATATATATATATATATATATATATATATATATATATATATATATATATATATATATATATATATATATGGTTAGGGTTAGTCAAAGTCAAAATTATGCAT